TCCCATGGGATAACCCCGCACGGGAGAATTCCCATGGGATAACCCCGCACGGGAGAGCTCCCATGGGATAACCCCGCACGAGAGAATTCCCATGGGATAACCCCGCACGGGAGAGGCTCCCATGGGATAACCCCCACGGGAGAATTCCCATGGGATAACTCCACACGAGAGAGCTCCCATGGGATAACCCCACACGGGAGAGCTCCCATGGGATAACCCCCACGAGAGAATTCCCATGGGATAACCCCGCACCAGAGAGCTCCCATGGGATAACCCCCACGAGAGAATTCCCATGGGATAACCCAACACGGGAGAATTCCCATGGGATAACCCCGCACGGGAGAATTCCCATGGGATAACCCCACACGGGAGAGCTCCCATGGGATAACCCCACACGAGAGAATTCCCATGGGATAACCCCACACACTGCCTGGAGCAGGGAATTCCTGCTTGGATAACCCCGCACACTGCCCTGGAGAGAGTTCCCATGGGATAACCCCACACACTGCCTGGAGCAGGGAATTCCTGCTTGGATAACCCCGTACACTGCCCTGGAGAGAATTCCCCATTGGATAATTGGTCCTCTCCCAAGGACCCCAAGGATGGGGAGATGCCACCACCCAACACCCTCATCCCAAACCCTGCTCCCACAGGGAATAGAACAGATCCCAGGATATCCCCACAGGGAAGGGGCAGATCCCACCAGTCCCCATCCCTAACCCCTGCCCCTACAGGGAACGGGGCTGATCCCAGGATATCCCCACAGGGAACGGGGCAGATCCCAGGATATCCCACAGGGAACAGGGCAGATCCCAGGATATCCCCACAGGGAACAGGGCAGATCCCATGAGTCTCCATCCCAAGCCCCTGCTCCTGCAGGGAACGGGGCAGACCCCAGAGTGCCCCAACAGGGAATAGAGCAGAACCCAGGATGTCCCCACAGGGAAGATCCCAGAGTCCTCATCCCAAAGCCCTGCTCCCCGGGGAAGGGGGCAGATCCCAGAGCCCTGCTCCCCAGGGAAGGCGGCAGAGCGGAGCGGCCAGGCCGGGGACTCACGCTCGTTGTCCCCTCCCGGGGGGTGGTAGAAGGAGAGCCCCAGGGAGATGATGGCTGCGATCTCCAGGATGATCAGCGTCACGTCCTGCAGCGCCTCCCACACCAGCTGCAGGAACGTCTTGGCCTTCTTGGGGGGGATGAAGTTCTGGCCGAAGACCTGGCGCCGCTTCTCCAGGTCCGTGGGGTTCCCAGACAGGCCTGGAGGGGTGGGGAAAGCAGGGATGAGGGTAAATCCCACTCTTGTCCCTGTGGAATTCATCCAGGAGCAGCTCTCTGCTTGCCCTAGAGAATGTGAGGTGCTGGCAGCGGGGAGACAAGGAGTAAATAAATAAAATGTAAATAAATAAAGTATAGAGGCATCAATAAAAGAAATAAATGAAATATAAATAAATGAGGTATAAACAGATAAATAAAATAAATAAAATTGAACTATAAATAAATGAAGTATATACACATAAATTATATAAAATACATAAAGTATAAACAACTAAAATATAATTAAATAAGATATAAAATAAAAATAAAGAAAGTATAAAGAAACAAATAAGTAAAATATAAACAAATAAAGTATCAACAAATTAATGAATTAATTAAATAAATAATGCATTAAAAGATAAAATAGAAATATATAAAATATAAACAAATCAAAATACAAATAAACCAAAATATAAGCAAATAAATACCTACATAAACCAGAATATAAACAAAGAAAGAAATAATGTATCAGGCTGCAGCCTGGAGAGTGCCACTGTCACCCCCGGGCAGGGGACACCAGGCTGCAGCCTGGCGAGTGCCCAGGTGCTGCCAGCTGGCACCAGCAGCCTTGTTTACATCAAATGAGCCATAAATCTGGGCAAATCCAGGCAAATCTGGGCAAATCCGGGCAAATCTGGGCAATTCTGGCACCTGTGGCCACCTGAGCCCTGTCCCTGGCAGCCCCTGGAGCTGCGGGAGCCTCTCCCAGCCCTGGGGACACTGGATCTCAGCTGGGATTTGGGAAGGGGGCAGATCCCAGCTGGGGTTTGGGAATGGGGCAGATCCCAGCTGGGATTTGGGAATGGGGCAGATCCCAGCTGGGGTTTGGGAATGGGGCAGATCCCAGCTGGGGTTTGGGAATGGGGCAGATCCCAGCTGGGGGTTGGGGATGGGGCAGATCCCAGCTGGGGTTTGGGAATGGGGCAGATCCCAGCTGGGGTTTGGGAAGGGGGCAGATCTGAGCTGGGGTTTGGGAATGGGGCAGATCCCAGCTGGGGTTTGGGAATGGGGCAGATCCCAGCTGGGATTTGGGCTGGAGTGCAGGAAAAGGGTGGGACACAGCAGGACACGGAGCTGGGACTGAGGATGGGGGAAATAGGGAAATAATGGGGGAAAAAAGGGAGCCTGAGCCCCTTCAGAGCCTGCCAGGCAGCGATGGTGACAGTGGCAGTGTGACACAGCCGTGTCCCCAGCACCACCTTAAGGGACCCCCCCCTGCCACCCTTCTCCACCTTAAGATGTCCCCAGGGCCACTGCCAGGTCCCGGGATGCTCCGGGAATGGCCCTGGGCACATCCCGGTGGTGCCTGGAGCAGCCTGGCAGTGACAGGGGACCCCGGCCCTGCACTCAGGGGACAGCTCCGAGTCATTCCAGGGGACACCTCCCTGCCAGCCCCGTGTCACTCTGGGGACACCCTCTGCCAGCCCCGTGTCACTCTGGGGGGACACCTCCCTGCCAGCCCCCTGTCACTCTGGGGACACCCTCTGCCAGCCCCGTGTCACTTTGGGGACACCCTCTGCCAGCCCCGTGTCACTTTGGGGACACCCCATGCTAGCCCTGTGTCACCCTGGGGACACCTCCGTGCTCGCCCCATGTCACTTTGGGGACACCCCCCTGCCAGCCCCGTGTCACTTTGGGGACACCCCTCTGCCAGCCCCATGTCACTTTGGGGACACCCCCTGCCAGCCCCATGTCACTTTGGGGACACCCCATGCTAGCCCTATGTCACTCTGGGGACACCTCCCTGCCAGCCCAGTGTCACTTTGGGGACACCCCCTGCCAGCCCCGTGTCCCTGCAGCAGGAGGAAGCTGCAGGATCGATCCCACCCAGCCCAGCTGCAGGGAGGGGACAGCTGGCAGCTGGCAGAGCAGCCTCGGTGTCCCCACCCAGCCGTGACGAGGAGGCTGAGCAGGATCCTGGGATGTCCCGGCCTCATTCCCCACCAGAGAGTGGAAAATGCGGCTCATGGCCACAGAGCTGCGGGGACACACGTGGGGACACACATGGGGACACATGGGGACACAGGACGGTCCCACAGCCAGGGATCCCAAAGCAGATCCCACCCCTGGGAATGATCCCAGCGCTGTCCCCCACCCTCCCCGGGGAATTGGGGGGGGGTTCGATGGCTCTGTGCTGGCACAGGGAGGGTGACAAAGAGCCCGTGCCACCCAAATGCCACTGCAGGGTCTGGGGGGCCGATTAGAAGGTGACAAAGAGCAGCAGCCCTGGGGACACCGCAGACTCTGGGGTCGGGATCAGCACGGAAAATGGGGCAGAAACGCTGGGTGGAGGCCACAAGTGACAGCAGGGAGCTGTCACCAGTGCCAGATCTGCCTGGGGACAGTGGCTGTGGGGTGGCACGAGGAGCCCCCCCGCAGGAATGGGGCTGGGGGCGGCAGCTGAGTCAGGGAGGCTGTGCTGGCACCCAGGGGACACCGTGACTCAGCGGAGCCACCGCCCGCTCACGGCTGTGGGACACCCCACGCCACCCCAAAGCCACTTTGGGAGCTGCCCCGAGGGTTTGGGGTCTGCTGGCACCTCCTGGGGCACAGCTGGAGCTGCCAGAACCAGCAGACCCCAAAGTGACGCCGGGGGTGGGGACCCCAAGGGCCACCCAAGGCGGCTCTGGGGGACCGTGGCCAGCGTTTGCCATGAGGACAGCGCCAGGCTGGAGAGGGGACAGCCAGTCCTGCAGCACAGGGTGGCACCGAGGCTCAGGAGCCACACGGATCCCGGTGGGATCAGAGCACTCCAGGGCACGGATCCTACAGGGGACAGGGGTGCTGGCAGGACACCCCGGGCTGGCCCTCCTGGTGACACACAGGAGGACAAGGCCTGTGCCACCCCAGCGGGGTGATCAGCAGAGGGACAGTGAGAATGGGCATGGGGACAAACACCTGGGAGCAGGGACACAGAGCTGGGATGTGCTCCCCGCTCAGCGGGGTCAGACAGAGGTGCCACAGGTTCCCTCGGGAATTTGCTCTTCCAAAAAATCCCCGAGGATCTGGAGCAGAGAACCTTTCTTTGCTCTCTGGGATTTGGGGCAGCTCAGCTCCACGGGAGGGACGTGCCAGGGGCATCGGGGTGGGACTGAACGCTTCACCTGCCCTAAAAGAGCCTTTTGGGTTCTCCTCCCGCCTCTCCTCCCGCCCCACAGCAGCGTGACCCCACTTTGGCAGCGCTGAGCACATTGTTTTGTGACCTGGGCTTTGTATTTCCACCGGGAGCTCCCCCCCTGCTCTAACGACATCCCGATATTGTCTCTCCTTCCCGGTCCCACTCGCAGCTGGAAAGCTGCAAATCCCCCCCTTGCAACACTAAAAATATCCCACAGATTGTCACAGCCATGTCCCCACCCCACAGCCCCGGGGCTGAGTCCCCATCCCACAGCTTTAGGATCGAGTCCCCATGCCACAGCTTTAGGGCTGTGTCCCCATGCCACAGATTGTCACAGCCAAGTCCCCATCCCATAGCTCCAGGGCTGAGTCCCCATCCCACAGCTTTAGGATCGAGTCCCCATCCCACAGCTTTAGGATCGAGTCCCCATCCCACAGCTTTAGGGCTGTGTCCCCATGCCACAGCTTTAGGGCCAAGTGCCCATCCCACAGCTCCAGGAAACCCCTCAAAACTGGAATCAGGGGCTCTCTGCCCCCTGCACCCCCTCAATGCCAGGGAAGGCTCCACTGCTGTGCCAAGGCACCCCCAGTGCCACCAGCCCCAAAAGCCAGCCCAGCCCGTGAGGGCAGAGGTGACACCCTGAGGCCCTCCCAGAGGTGACCCCAGGCGTCACTGCCACCACTCCAGCTGTGCTGCCCAGGATTTCCTTGGAGCATCCTCAGACCAGGAGGGACCTGGGCCCATCTCCACATCCCTGGGTGCATCCCCCACCCCTTTTGGGGATGCAATGTCCCTGTCCCTTGCCTCAAGTGTCACCAACAGCTGCAGGTGCCACCCGGCCACCTCACCAGCACCCTCCAACCTTTACACCTCCCCTCCCTCCCAGTAACTCCGTAAATGATTAAACAGGGAACGGCTGGAGCAGCACCTGCGCTGTGGGGAGGAGCTCCTCACCCCATCCCACATCGCTGACAATCCCAGGGGTGACAACCCCAGACCACGGGATGGCCACTGGAGCCACCACCCTCAGGTGTCACCTTCACACAGCTCCATCTCAAAGATGACAGCCCCAGAGGTGACAGCCCCAGACCTTGGGAGCCATCACTGTCAGGTGTCACCTTCACACAGCTCCATCTCAAAGATGACAACCCCAGAGGTGACAACCCCAGACCATGGGAGCCATCACCCTTGGATGTCACCTTCACGTGGCTCCATCCTGGAGGTGACAACCCCAGACCATGGGAGCCACCACCCTCAGGTGTCACCTTCACATGCCTCCATCCTGGAGGTGACAACCCCAGACCATGGGAGCCATCACCCTTGGATGTCACCTTCACATGGCTCCATCCTGGAGGCGACAACCCCAAACCTTGGGAGCCACCACCCTCAGGTGTCACCTTCACATGGCTCCATCCTAGAGGTGACGACCCCAGACCATGGGAGCCACCACCCTCAGGTGTCACCTTCACATGGCTCCATCCTAGAGGTGACAACCCCAGACCTTGGGAGCCACCCCCCTCAGGTGTCACCTTCACACGGCTCCATCCTAGAGGTGACAGCCCCAGACCTTGGGAGCCGCCACCCTCAGGTGTCACCTTCACACGGCTCCATCCTAGAGGTGACAGCCCCAGACCTTGGGAGCCGCCACCCTCAGGTGTCACCTTCACACGGCTCCATCCTAGAGGTGACAGCCCCAGACCTTGGGAGCCGCCACCCTCAGGTGTCACCTTCACACGGCTCCATCCTAGAGGTGACAGCCCCAGACCTTGGGAGCCGCCACCCTCAGGTGTCACCTTCACATGGCTCCATCCTGAAGCTGACAACCCCAGAGGTGACAACCCCAGCCCACGGCAGGGCCACTCACCTTCGACCGGCGACGTCTTCAACCTCTTGCAGACGTTCTGGACGCCGCCATAGGAGTCGTTGATCCGGGCCACGGCCTCGGCGCTCCTCAGCTCCATGAGGTTCCTGAGCTCCACCAAGGAGCACCCAAAGTCCCCCTCATGGTTGCCCTCGGCCACTGAGTTCCCGGGGTGGTGGTCGGCCACGTTGTTCGTCATCTTGTCACAGTGACGGTGCCACCGGCGCGGCGCTCCTGGGGCGGCCTCGCTCGCGGCTCCGGCAGCTCCGGGGGGGGATGCTCCGTGTGGCCCCTTCCCTGGGGGCTTCCCGGGGGGAACGGGAGGCTCTATCCGAGCCCAAGTTGTCGGGATGAAGGTGTAAACAGGATGTGCATGTTACCGCGGAGGCGACCTTAGCAACGCCCGGCGTGCAGCTCCTGCAGCGGGAGGAGGAGGAGGAGGAGGAGGAGGAGGACTGACTGGATACCACAGCAACTGGAGCTGCGAAAACAACCGTGGGAAACAAAAATATCGGCGTCAGGAGGGCTTGGGAAGGAGTGAGGTGCGCCATGGGGTGGGAGAGGGGAGTGGTGCTACCCCAAGGTGGGGATTTTTAGGGAGAATTTGGTTTGGGCAGAAATTCCTGGGCGAGAAGTTGAGCTCGGAGTGTGGAGCAGGGAAAAACGGCAGCTGCGGGGCCGGGCAGGAAAGGAGCCCAGGTGGTTCTTCACTTTCAGCCCAGACAAACCCTCCCGTTGATTTTGGGTTAAAAATACCCCTCAGCAGTGGGAAACAGCTGCTTCCTCCCCTGGGCAGGACATGGGGGCTGGAGCATTGCTCCCCGCCCTGCTGGAAGGTAGGGAACGATCCCAATATCCCAATATCCTGACATCCCAACACACTGATATCTCAATATCAAAATATGCCAATGTCCCAATATCCCAATACCTTGATATCCCAATATCCAAATATCCTAATGTCCCAATATCTAAATATCCCAAAATCCCTATGTCCCAACATCCCAAATTCCCAAAATCCTGATATCCCAATATCCCAATATCCAAATATCCCAGTAACCCAAAACCCCAATATCCCAATATTCCAACATACCAAATTTCCAAAATCCTGATATCCCAATATCCCAATGTCCCAGTATCCCAGTCTCCCAATATCCATGGGAAAGGGGCTGCAGCACCCCACAGCTCAACATCAGCTGGGAGATGCCACAGGAACCACGAAAAAGAAGAGGGAAGTGGCAGAGAAGCCAGCAAAACCTGGGAGTTTGTCGGAAATCGAGGCTTTTCCGTCATGACCTGTTCCAAGGTGGCTCCCTGAGGGCAGCGAGTGGCTCTCAGTGTCCCTAAGAGCTGCCACCCAGGTCACAACCCCCCAGCGAGGACAGGGGAACCCCAAAAACACTTCAACCAAGCCAGGCAAGGACCACGAGCATCCCACAGCTCCCCCATTCCTCAGGGATTTGGGGGCTGGGATTCCCTGCTGGCATCTCAGAGTTCTAGGGACAAATAGGGACATGGAGGGAACAGCACAGGCCAGAGGGAAAAAGGGCTTTTTGTCAGCCAGGGTTAGCTGTGTTCCCAAGCTCCAGGGAAGCTCCCGGCACTCCAGAGGCAAAAAGGCTGTGAGGGGAGGCTCTCATGGAGAGAAAATAAAATCTTTCTGAGGGCAAAATAAATAAAGATCAACAAGGGAATGGCCACTCTGGCGGCATCCTGGGGCCCAGGGGTGGCAGAGCAGGCTGGGGAGGGACAGGGGAGGACAGGAGGGAGGAGGGACAATGTCCACGGCTGATCCCAGCACACACGGGAGGCACCAGCCCTCACCAAGCCCACAGAAAGGCACCAAATCAGCACAGGGCTGTCATGAACAGCCCCAGTTCCAGCCCCAGGGTTGTCCCAAACTGCCCCATCTCAAACTGCCCAATTCCAGCCTCAGGGCTGTCCCAAACTGCCCCACCCCAAACTGCCCCGATTCCAGCCTCAGGGCTGTCCCAAACTGCCCTGATTCCAGCCTCAGAGCTATCCCAAACTGCGCCGATTCCAGCCCCAGGACTATCCCAAACTGCCCCATCGAAAACTGCCCAATCCCAAACTGCCCCAATTCCAGCCCCAGGACTGCCCCAAACTGTCCCATCCCAAACTGCCCCATCCCAAACTGCCCTGATTCCAGCCTCAGATCCCAAACTGCCCAATTCCAGCCCCAGGACTTTCCCAAACTGCCCCATCCCAAACTACCCCGATTCCAGCCCCAGCCCCAGGGACTTTTCAATCTCTGGGGCAGCACAACCCCAGAGAAGCAAACCCTCCCTGCCTGGCCCTCCTTATCCCACCAGCAGCACCCCGAGGGCAGCTCCCGGCACTATCAGGGCACCACAGGCACCAACTGCACCTCGGGGACAGCAGTGACACCGCCAGAATGTCCCCACCTCGGGAGGGACCTGTGCCCCAGCTGCAGGGAGGAGGGGAGCGGGGCAGGATGGGGGGACACAGGGATGGGGACACTGGGATGGGACATAGGGATGGGGACACTGGGATGGGACACAGGGATGGGGACACTGGGATGGAAAGACACAGGGATGGGACACAGGGATGGGGACACAGGTATGGAAGGACACAGGGATGGGACACAGGAATAGGGACACAGGGATGGGGATACAGGGATGGGGACACAGGGATGTAAGAACACAGGGATGAGACACAGGGATGGGACACTGGAATGGGGCACTGGAATGGGACACAGGGATGGAAGGACACAGGGATGGGGACATGGGGATGGGGACACAGGGATGTAAGAACACAGGGATGGGACACAGGGATGGGACACTGGAATGGGACACAGGGATGGAAGGACACAGGGATGGGGACATGGGGATGGGGACACAGGGATGTAAGAACACAGGGATGGGACACAGGGATGTAAGAACACAGGGATGGAAGGACACAGGGATGGGGACACTGCAGCTCCTGGGACACCCAAGCTCCTCAGGCCAGAGCGTTGCTGCTGCCTCATCCAGCAGGGATCCCTGCCCATCCCCAGCCCCGTTATCCCACGGCTCCTGGTGGAGCTGAGCTCATCCATCCCTGCAAGGCAGCAGCTCCCAGCAGCGGGAAGCAGGAGGTGGCAGGCCCAATTAAGCAGGCTCCTGCTGATTAAGAGAAAAAACGCTAATTCCCCCACCCCACCACGCTCATTTCCTCCTCTTTCATAGCAACGGCGCTGTCTGAGGAGCGCTCAGAGGTTAAGAGGGAGACAGTTAATTAATACTGTAATGGCCTAGCCCTTAATTACCCCTGACAGAGCTCAGGGGGCAGCGATCAGCACCATCCCTATGTCCCACTGTGAGATTCCAGCCTGGAATTCATTCTGCTCTTGGGGGAAAAGAGGGACCCATCACCATCCCTATGTCCCACTGTGAGATTCCAGCCTGGAATTCATTCTGCTCTCAGGGAAAAGGAGGGACCCAGCACCATCCCTGTGTCCCACCCTGCAGTCCCAGCCTGGGACCGAGGTGTGGGATGGCTGGGAAGGATCCAGCCGGGTCAGAGCCATCGCTCTGAGGAGCCCCCAGTGACTCCAGCAGGCCCTGTCCTTTACTCTGGGAATCCATTCCCAGAGCCCCCGGGCCCTGGAGAGGAACAAGGGAAGAAAACAGCCCCGGTGGGAGAGGACCTGAGCTGACACCAGCTGTGTCACCTCCCAGATGCCATCCCTGAGCTGGGAACCCACCCTGGAGCCTGGCGGGGTGTGAGGGGAGGAAGGAGAGGGGTGTGAGGGGAGGAATGAGCGGGGCGTGAGGTGAAGAAGGAGAGGGGTGTGAGGCGATGAAGAAGAGTAGTGTGAGGGGAGGAAGGAGCAGGGTGTGAGGGGAGGAATGAGCGGGGTGTGAGGGGAAGAAGGAGAGGGGTGTGAGGTGATGAAGAAGAGCAGTGTGAAGGGAGGAAGAAGAGCAGTGTGAGGGGAGGAAGGAGCGTGCGGGCTCCAGGCAGGAGGAGCTGGCGGGGAGCGGCGGAGCCGGTGCTGCAGCTGAACCTGCCCGGAATAATAAACGGCAGCATGGCACCTCCGTCCTGCCAGGGACAGTGCCCGCGGGCAGGGCCACCGCCCCAGCGTGGCCTGTGCCCACCCCAGCCCCAGCACCTGCCGGATTCAACCTCGGGGAAAAGCGACGAGGAAAAATTAATCAGCTGGAGATGCCACAAGTGGCAACTTCAGCCACGCCGTGGGTGGCCCTGCTGCCGTGCTGGTGGCACTGCTGATGGCACCAGGAGCCTGGCACATGCCAGCAGCAGCCGTGGCTGGGTCCCTGGGTAAGGACAGGGATCCTCCTGCCTCAGGACATCGGATCAGATCCGGGACAGGAGCACTGCTCCATCCTCCCACGGATGATCAGAGATGGAGCAATCCCTGCCCAAGCTCAGGAGGTTCTTCCATTGATGAAATCCGTGCCCCAGCTGGGACATGTCCCACCACCAGGCCGAGGAAAAGCATCAGCAGCCGCCACATTCCCTGCCCAGAGCCACAAATCCCAGCTCGGATCAGATGGATCAAGGTGGGATCACCTTCCCCAAGCACCTGGATCCCAGCCCCACATTCTGCCCCTTTCAGCAGCACCCACCAGGGTCCATCTCCTCTCCCAGTTTGGGAATGGGGTGTTGGGAACACTTGGCTGCCGGAGGTTGCCATGGCAAACTCAATGTAAAGCTGTCAGGGATGCTGTTTATGTTGCCAAGTGGGGAGGAAGGGAAAAAAATAAATAAATAAAAAATTTTAAAAATCAACTCCCCCAAAATTACCCTTCCTTGGCTCGGGTTTGAGTTTTTTTCTCATTGGGAATCCAAAGCTGCATCGGCAGCGGGATGAGAGAGGCTGCACGGACAGAGCCGTTCTCCAGAGGGACAAACGGAGCCAAAGTAGCCAATTAAAGCAGAAAAACGGCCTTGGAGCACCTTCCCTGCCCTGCTGGCCGCTCTGCTCCCCCTGCCCAGCACAGACCCCACGCACTGCCCTGCAGCTGGGCCCACCCAGGAGCGGCGCTGGGGGGGCACAGGGAGGTGAAAATCCTCTGGAATGGCTGAGTCCAGGGAGGGATCACCGGGAGAGACCCACGGGGTGCTGCCATCACTGGGCTGGGGGGCTGGGGAGGGACCAAACCCCCCTGCAGCCCCTCAGAGCCAGGGGAGAGCCCTTCCCAGTGGGAATGTGGGAACAGGCTCTTCACTGGGACCTGGGCACAGCCATCCTGCCCCATGCCAACAGGTGACAGCCTTGGGGACAGGGAGGGCACCTGGGGAGGGGACAGACCCCCCTGCAGCCTCTCAGAGCCAGGGGAGAGCCCTTCCCAGTGGGAATGTGGGACCTGGGCACACCTGCCCCATGCCAACAGGTGACAGCCTTGGGGACAGGGAGGCCACGGGGGAGGGGGGCACGACCCCCACACCGGGGCTGAGCCGGGTCCCTGTTCCACCAGGACACGGCCACGTGGA